AAGATGGACTTCTTTTGTTTCAGCAGAGGATCGTGGTTCCTCGAGGTCCGTTGACCGTAGAGGTTATGGCAGAGGCCCATAAGGGCCAATTTTCTATCCATCTTGGTGCTACTAAGATGTATCAAGACCTGAAGAAGAACTTCTGGTGGTCGGGCATGAAGAACGATGTTGTTGTTTTTGTGTCCAAGTGTTTGGTTTGCCAGAAGGTGAAGATTGAGCATCAGAGACCGTCGTGAGCTTTAACCTCTTGAAGTACCACAGTGGAAGTGGAAAAGTATTTCCATGAACTTCGTGGTGGGATTGCCTAAGACTCAGGCGAGTTGTGACTCTATCTGGGTCATTGTGGACAGAATGACGAAGTCTGCCCATTTTCTTCCAGTGAAGGTGAGCTTCACTACAGAGCAGTTGGCCAAGCTTTATGTTCGCGAGATTGTGAGGCTTCACGGGGTGCCCGAGAGTATCATCAGTGATAGGGACCCGAAGTTCACATCTCAGTTTTGGGAGGCGCTGCAGCAGGCTTTTGGTACACAGTTGAGATTGAGTACCGCCTATCACCCTCAGATTGATGGACAGACTGAGAGGACCATCCAGACCTTGGAGGACATGTTGCGGGCTTGCACGTTGGAGTAGGGCTCGGCATGGGATAGGTACCTTCCGTTGGTTGAGTTTTCGTACAACAACAGCTTTCATGCTAGCCTGGGCATGGCGCCCTACGAAGCACTGTATGGTAGGAGGTGTCGGACTCTTACCTGTTGGTCTGAGGTTGGAGACAAGGAGCTTTTTGGCTTGGACTTTGTCCAAGATACCACCCAACAGATCCTGTTAATCAGAGAAAAGTTGAAGCAGGCGCAGAATTGCCAGAAAAGCTACTATGATGCCAAGCATCGTCCACTGGAGTTCAGTGAGGGTGAGCACGTGTTTGTGAGACTTTCACCTGTCACCGGTGTTGGTCGGGCACTCGGAGTGAGGAAGTTGAGCCCGCGAAATATTGGGCCATACCAGATCCTTGGTAGAGTAGGACCTGTTGCCTACCGGCTTGCCTTACCTCCGAACTTGGCCAACATCCACGACGTGTTTCCCGTGTCTCAGCTTCAGAAGTACATAGCAGATCCTTCGCACGTGGTGCAACCTGATGATGTGGAGGTTCGGGAGAACCTAAAGACTCCCGTCGGACCACTCAAGATTCTCGATCGTGGCGAGAAGCAGCTGAGGAGCAAGATCATTCCGATGGTCAAAGTGCAATGCACCGGAAGAACTCTCGACGAGTGTACTTGGGAGCGTGAGAACGAGCTTCTCCGGCAGTACCCCGAGTTTCGAGACAGGTATGTTTCTGATTTTGAGGACAAAATCCTAAAAAGGTTGGGTGAATGTAAGAACCCGCACCGTTAATAAAAGAAATTAATTAATTATATATGCAAAATTAAGAAATGATTCCATAATTGACCCTAATAATTATTATGAGGCTTATATAATTATAGTAAGTGATTAAGAATGCTGAAGGTCGCTTTTCGGAATAAAAGTGCAGATACCGGTTCTGCTAGTCGCTATAAATGCGTACCGAAAAAGTATCCCGAAAAATTATAATATGTGCATGATAATTCCTGGAATAATATATAGGACTTGCAAAAACGAGTTTCAAGTTAAAATAATGAGAACTGGTGCCAGAAACTAATACTGGCTATGAAAAGCGCGTACCGGAAAGGTGCTCCGATAAATATAAGAAAAATATGATAATTCTTGTAAAATTGAGTAGGTTAAGAATCCAAAGTTTGGGATTAAAATGCTAAGCATAGCAATTAAAGTTAATATTGTGTGTTTTATGGTTAAGTGGCTATATATACACTCATTATATTGGGCACAAAACCCTAGAACCACTACTCCTACGTGACTTATGTAGCTGAGTGCACTCTTGCACTGTTTCATTGCTTCCTTCTTCCTCCTTGAGAGCCTAGGGGCTATTTCTCCCTTATCTTTCTTGGTTTCATCATCCTAAACACTTGAGTGGGTGTGAGTGTGATTTTGTGAGGGAGAGGAGTACCCGATTACTGACTTCCAGCCACTGTTTTTAGTGAGGGGTGGGTTGAGTTTCCTTGTCTTGAGTTGTTAGAGCCTTTCCTTGGTTGTAGAAGCTCCAAGTGGACATCCTTGTGAAGGAAAAACCAAGTCTTGCTAGCCATTTTCGTTTTCTGTACAAGGCAGTACTAGAAGAGTGGTTTGGTGAGCTCTAAGAGCAACCTTTACTTCTATTTTGAGCCTTGGGTGAGTTGTTCCACCTTTGATCTTAAGTTTTAATGCTTACAAGAGGTGTCTTTGCATGTAAATGAGTTAAGCAAGTAACCAACTGTCTTATGAACCTAAATGGACCTTAAGATGCATGCTTAAGCTTCTGGAAGTGTTAAAAATGGAACCTTTGGTTTGGATTTTTGCGAACTGAAGAATCTGGGTTCTGTAGCGAAATATCCGGATATTTCGTTGTGAATATCCGGATATTGATATCCGGATATGGGTATCCGGATATTGATATCCGAATATGCCCCCGACGAATATCCGAATATTCTGGGATTTCGTAGAACAGTAGCTGCACTGTTCATACAGTAGGCTATTGGGGGTGTGTGGACCCTAGAGTGATGAAGTTGAACTTCTGTTTTAATTGAATTAAGTCAGAATCAAGTGATTAAGAGCTTATGGCTTTGTGTGAAGCCTTAAGACATAAATCGTAAGAAGAAAAAGTTGTCTTTATGTCTCTACTTGTGAGTTATGAGTGTTGATATGCTTGCTGGTCCTAATCTGATTATGATCTGCTGTGTGTCTGACTTGAGCTGTGTGGACTCTTGGCATTGGATAGTGAGCTTGCAAGGTAAGCTTTCGTGTCCTCGGTTTAGCCATGTTGTGGTTCCACCATGTCCCATGGGGGTATGGTTATATGCATGCTGTGTTACATGCTTTCGATGTTTTGGAAATGCTATTGAGTTGTTATGTGCTAGTGCCTTTATGATATGCATGTGGTGTTCCACCTATACGGTAAGCCTGAGTATGTAGAACATATAATAAGGTGAGACTGTGGGTGAGGTGCAAGCGGTGTTCCTTGTACTATCTGTAGGTAATAGACGTATTCATACATTTCTCTGGCCAGTAGAATAGTTATAACACACATGTCATGAATATATGTTGCACTGCATTGAGTTTTGGAACTTATGTTGAATTACTACTTTTAGAACTTATATTGCACATGTAAGTGAGCTTGGGGTGGAAGATCCTTGAGGACCCCCTGTCTTATTGAGATTTCTGGTTTAGAGATCTCACCCCACGTTTGGGGAATGCTTATTTCAGGTTCAGGTAATGCATGGGTTGAGACCTCTAGTGGCAGGAGGCCAAAGCTTAGCTGATAGATGTTGCATGTTACGCTGTTATGTTTGGATGTTGGATCCTATTTACTGTCTTATGCTTTTGGATTCAGTTTATGGATTTCTCTTTTGAGACTCTGTTAGTTATGCTGTTGATTTGGTGAGCATGGGGATTGTCCATGCCACTTAGACTTGAGTATGTCTTGTTTTATTTGGAGTTGTATTAATGTATCAGGATATTGTCCGGATTACGTGTTGTAATGCCGTGACTTAGATACTTACTTTATCTATATTATGATGTATTTCAGTTAGATGTCTATTTGCGTTACATACAGGCGATGTATTTTATGAAATTGATTAAGTAATCAACTTGGCTAAGAATAATAACGTCATAATTGAAAAGAAAAAGATATTCCGCATTTTTAATTAAGCGCAGCTTAATACGATGATATGTTAACAAACCGGGTATACATGGGGTGTTACACCGCCCCACCCCGTCATCAACCTGCCAAAAAATGAGCTAGCCCGCCCCGCCTCGTTTGGCGGGTTGGGCGGGTTGGCCCGCCAGCCTGAGCCTATTTTACACTTACCCACCTCAGTCCGCCTATGCCCGCCATCAACCCGCCAAAAAATGAGCCTGCCCGCCCCGCTTTTGAGATGAGTTGAAAAACTCAGCCCGCCCTGCCTCGTTTGGCGGGTTGGGCGGCCGAGCCGAACCCATTTTGCCGGCTCTATCCACAATAGGAAAACCCCTAAAGATAATGCAAGTTATTGAGCTCTAGACTATATGGATCCAAATAACCATAGTTTTACCTATTAAACTTTTATGTTAACATATTATTCAATTATATTATTAAAATATCCTACCGTTTTAACTTTCATGAAGCATCCAACACTACTCTTTTGGTTAGTGCGTACTACTATGCATCCCAATACTGACGCATATGACCAGCACCGAATTAAGCAAGCTAAAGGCTACCAAATTTAGCAAACCCGTGAACAAACTAATCTGTCTTCCACATACAAATGGTTATATATGATAAACGACATTTTCCAAAGCCAAGAGAAAATTATAAAATATAATGTGAAAAAAAAAAAACCAAAAAGGCATATACAATTAACTAGACAAATAATTCCATCTACATAATTCCGTTGTATCTCGTTCAAAGCGATGAGGGCTGCTCTATAATCTACATAACATACCCATCATAAATTACATGGATGCTACAGCAAGAAAAACCAAGTCAACTTACGTAAAATATTTTGTGAAAGTTTAGCACTCCTTGCGATGTCATGATATTTTGTTATATGCTAGTGGGATTTGGTTAGGCTAGCTTGCAAATAGCAACCTACATACCACATCCAACAATCATATAACTTTTCTTTGATCCAGTAACAATGACTTTTCATTGGGCCAATACTCCTTTAAAAAGGGGTCCCAAGTAATATTGTCATCAAATAAAATATTGTGACTACTATTCTCGGAGTAAGATTAGTGGCACCTTAAATTTTTTTTCTAAATTAAAGAAATATATATAAATAAAAAAGAAAAAGAAAGAAACAAGCACACAAATCAATGACCTTGAAAGTCACATAAATAAATAACAAAGTAATTATTAATAAACAAAAGTGTTGGCAACGCCAACCAAGGATCTAGAAGCATAGCCCAATTCCACCAAAGAAAAGCCCAATAATTATTTAAAAAGAAAAAAAGAAAAGAAAATATTAATATAATAATAAAATAAGACCTAAAAGAAGATAGTGTACTATAAAACTATATTTTACATTGGTTGGTCAACAATTCTCCCCAAGTTAGCACCTAATTTGTCTGCTTTACGTCACTATCAGGCCTCACCATGCGGACCAAAGAAAACTTCTATCCGTGTTCCTATCGGAGAAGGACTTTGATGGGGTGGTTTCTTTTCTCCATATCATCATCAAAATCAAGAAGAAGAAGTGTTTGGGAAGAAACGTCCTTCTTGTTCATGATCCATCAAAACCTCATCATGATCAGTGACAACATTGTTTGTAGGTCTTGCGTTGCTTAGTCTCTGGAAAAACATGTTGTCTCCACCTTGTATGGTGCTACTATACATGTATTGTTGTTGGTTTTGCAGCGGATATAGATGTTGTTGTTGTTGTTGTTGTTGTAGATGGTACCTAGGAGGTGACACCATGAGTGTAGTTGGGTTAAAAGGAGGGTTTTGACGTGGGGCAAACCCAAAACCCATGAGGTTTTGTAAACCTTGTTGTTGTGATGATGATATTAATGATGATGGAGTCGGTGCAAAGGGTGCACTTGGACCTCCAGTGAATTGTTGCACCATGGCACGAAAATTTGTGGTGTCTGTGTTGAGCAAAGTGGTGGGAGTTCGCCGTGAAGCCCGGGATCGCCGCCGTGTGGCCTTTGAGACACGGCCTTCCGGGCTCAAATGGGTGGATGCTGATGAGCTTGAATTCAGCATCTGGCTGGTGGTGGCGGTGGTAGTTGTGGCTTCGGTGGGGGTAACAGTGGCGGCGGTGGCAGTTGAAGAGACAGGAATTGAAGGTGTAAGTGTGTGAGTAGAGAGATTTTGGTTATAGAATTGGAGCCAGTCATTTGGGCGAGACATGGTTTGGATCATGGCCAATGATCATTGAAGAAGGGTGAAGAAGAAAGAATGGAAAAATATGGGAGGGGACTTTTAGGTTATTTTTGTTTGGTAAGAGTAAGAGGGAAAGAAAGATGTTTGTTGTGCTGGGTATTTATGGTGTGTTTTTTTTTTTTTTATTTTGTTTTTCGTTTTAGACATTTTTGTGGTGGTTTCTATTTAGTATTTTGTCAAAAGTGTGAACCTAATGGATGAAGATCCTATTCCGGATTTGGAGAAAACAGTAGATTCTATTGGCGGCATCAAGTGACATCACGCATGACCTGAGAATATATACTATATACTATAAAAATTCACTTGTTTTTGGCTGATTAACCGTTTTATTGGTATTTTTAAATTTGGTACGGTGATTGACTCAGTCAAGACAATGAGTAAGTGAGTTATTGAATTATATATTAAATTATATAATAAATATATTATAAGATGCATTTTTATGGAGGAATATTCTCACTATTAAAATTTTTCGCTACCAACTTACTAATTATCTAATCATTATTAGATTAATATTTCTCTCTCTTCAAAAACTTTTTAACATTCTCTCTCTTTGATCCAATGGTGATGATGAGTAGTAAGTTAGTAGTAAGAATTTTTGGTAGTTAGAATATCCCCACTCAAGTGATAATATACTACTCTTCCGAAAAGTGAAATATTACAATTGAGGGTAGCGTAATGATAAGTCATAAGTGGTAACATTATTCACTACCATATGCTGGGTTTGAGTCAATGTCAAAAATGGAATATTTGATCCAATTTTTAAAAAATCGATTTAAAAGAGAGAACAGCTTCACCCTCTAGTTTCCATTTGACTCGCAAGTCGAATCCGAGTTTTAAAACACCGGTTTTACCTTTCTTTTATTTATTTTTAATATTATCAGACTCGGTCTGATCATTGACCCGGCCGAGGTATTGAGTCATTGGTTCAATCGATGAGTCACTGGTTGAATAGCTTGACCGTTAGTACATAAAAACCTATATTTTATCTATAAAAATACTCGAATACATGTAAAAAACTGTTATGTAAGGCTGCGAACATATATAGTTTTTGTAAAGATAAAAAATTCGTATATGGTAACCATATATAGTATATTGTAAAAGAAATAAACAAAGAAAAAAGAAAATTTAAGTTTCTGATAACCATGCACATATAATTCATCTAACAAGTATCCTCAACTAACCATGTTTAATAATTACAAGTCAATAACCAACAACTCTTCCCATAAAAACAGATTTGCAAGGAATCAATATGTTACATTCTCTTAATTTACTATTCTGCAAATTGCTTCAATCTTTGAAACTGAAATTTAAGGTCATTATAGGAGAGTATACTACTAGAAAACAAAACTAAAAAAAAATTGAAAGGAGTTCCACAAATTTTTAAAACAAGACGAGATAACTTTGGTTTTCATTTTTTTTAAATGCATGACCTGTCAATTTTTATGATCCACCAACTTTTATGACTCGACGGGCATCGTGTTTGATACATGGTCAGATGATCGGTTAATACTTGACTCGAACTGGTCAGGGTTCACTAGTTTCGGGTCAACCCAGCCGGTTCAAACTGGGTTTGATAACCCTGTTTATTTTCTTAAATTATATATCAGTTTGTCTCTGTTTGAACAAATCACTAAAACACTAATTTTTAGCCACATTTAAAATTGTAGCTAGCTTGAGAAAAATCGTGGCTAATATAAATGAAGATATATATTGAACATATATTTTAAAAAAGCATGTTTGTTTCTCAATAATATATCCTTATTAAATTCATATTTTTAAAAAAATTATCAACTTTTTACAAAATAAATTTAGCCAAGTATAGAATTTATATTTTTTAATTATAAGAGGCATTATACTTATTTGGCTAAAAAATTCTGTAAAAAAATGACATTCAATTGCCAAAAAATTAAAAAATATGAAATTAATAAAATTATATTTTGTTTAAATTAATCTTAAATTGTTGTACAATATATTGATTCCATTTAAGAATAAATCGGTAAAAATAAAGCAACACTTAAGATAGTAATTGAAAATAACTTATAAAATCTTATGTTTAGGAAAAATAAGTAGGAACAAATTTAAAATAAATTTAATTTTTTTAATAATAGTGGAGATAATTAAAATCTTAAATCACGGACAACAGTAATAAGTCATATATATACAAATTCTTTGTGCAAAATAAATACTAATTGATTGATGAATGTAATCTATATACATATAAGTTGTAAATATTACATCTCATAATAAAAAATTATTGAGAAACAAACGTGCTTTTATAATTTATAGAAATCTATAATATGAAAAAAGTTGTTAATTATAATATATCACCAAATATTGTTTTTCAAACAAATGTTTTATATATATATTTATATATCCACCTACGGTTTTGAGCATGGCTAAAGTTCATTGTTTTAGTGGTTTGGTCAAATTTTGATCTAATAGAAGCAAATTGGTATATACTTTAAGAAGTGTGACAAATTAATATATAATTTGAGAAAATAAACAAAATAATAAATTAATTTTAAAAAAGGGATAAAAAACGGCCAACCAGCCATTGTTTTTACATTATTAAGCTTGTCCTAAATTTAATTTAATTTCCCTCCATAGTATTTTGAGCGTTTTCTTTTAATAATGGGAGGCTGTGGCCTTTGATTTTCCCATGGCAGCCATCTTTATCTTCCATCTTATTTGTTTTCAATAATCTTTTCCTAAGAAAATTATTTTCATGCTCTTTTTTGGAAATTTCTTAATTCTCTGAAATTAACTATACAACTTTTCTTCATGATTTCATAATTTTGAATAGCCTTTGTAATTGTTTGTATACAATATTTTAGATTGTGAGCGGGAAAATCGAAAGAAAAGGACGTAAATGACATTGGGAGATAAAAATAATATGATGAAAAGAAAAAAGTAATAAACTAATAAATACAAAATACAAAATTTATATTAAAAATAATTATCCTTCTTATGCAAAATAAATAAAAAATTTTACGTGTTTATGTAAAAAATTTACAAGGTCTTTAAAAACTATAGGTTTAAATAAAAATTATAATATTTTATTAAAAGTCATAAGTTTTTATTTATAAAAATAGAGGGGGTTAACTTCTTTTCGCTTACAACCTCTTACAACCAAATCTTAACCATTTATTTTTATCAATTTGACAATTATAATTTATTGAATTTTTTATTTATTTTTTTGTATCAATATCATGTTTTTAATAGAATAACAAAATGAACTTCATTCTTTTTTGTTTTCAGAACTTCTTTCTTAAACTCTTTAACTTTTTTATTAACGGTCAGATTATTATTTTGAAACAACTAAAGTTAGTTAATATAGGGAAAATAGTAATCATAAGTTAAGTTTAATCTTAATAATATTGATTTTTTTAAATTTATCTGGAAGATTATCAGTAATATTAATTCTATAACTGCATAAAAATTATTAAACTTTGAGTTTTGACTGTCATGTTGAGGCTCGTGCTTCTAGAAGTCTTGGCTAATTGAACTTAACGGCGTCGTTTGAAAGGTATCCGTATCATGCGTGTTTACCACTTCGTGGAAGCAGTGCCCGAGACGGCTGCTGTGTCATGATGACGTCATCATTTCAGTGTCACACGTCAAATATAAGATTTGTTTGTGTTGGTAGGCGAGGAATCGCTGACTGAGTCTCGTGAAAGAGGAACCTGCCAGGCATCTTCCATAATAAACAATTTTTTGGGGAAAAAATTCCAAATTCTTTTAAAGCCATATCATCATTAACGGACAATCCACTTTTTTTTTTTTTTTTACTACTTTTAAGTGTATAATGAAAATGTTATAGAAAAATAAGTGTAAAAAAAATATCACTTCAACAATACATGCGATTCTATAAAGGGATAACAACTTCTTTTGTTAGGAGAGAAGTTATTATTTTGCAGTTGACACAATAATTAGGAGAGAAAGAAAGGGAAGAAGTGAGAAAAAAAAAATTGAAGTAAACTCCGTCATTTAATATATCTGTAATATGAGAAGGTTATTCTTCTTTGGAATAAGAAATATAAACCCCTTCTATAAAATATATACAAAAAAATTGAATCATACAATAATATCAAAGCATGCTTTACGAAAATATATAAATACACCAACAAATTTTTTGAACCCAATATATGCTGTCCTTAAGACAATTTCCAGAATACAATGAATTATCTTGTATTATCTTTATTCTTAAGATGACTCTTGTACATAAAACAGTCACATCAATCTACATTTGATCAATCGTACTAAAATCAAAAGATGCAAATGCAAAAAATATACAAAAGTCAATAGGAAAAACTAGTATCCAAAAATTATGATTCTGCAGTTATTTATAAAAAATATAAGGTTATGATTTGAACGACGTACGTTCAGTAGCAAAATGATACATTCATTTGATGACAAAATAATATATATTTTCAAAATCAAATTTTTTATTCCTAAAAATAATTAATTTAAAATTAAATTCTAACAAAATATTCATGTCATTTCAAGTTAATAAATCATGAACAAAAATATTTAATTTATGTATTATTTTATAATTCATATATTATTAAAGTTGTGCTGCTCCCTGCACTTTCATAGAAATATTACTATATGACATAATAATTTAGGCAATAATCACTTTTATTGTCCTTCCGTTTTTATTGTATTAGCATATGGAAGTACACTGTTAATGGTGTTGATTTGGTGAAAAATGTAAAACTTTAAAAAGTCAAGACAGCTATCCAAACGCACCATCCAAAAGAAATTTAAGAACAGTATATATAGATTGTCTTTTCCATCAAACTCACGTGTTCCTACTTTTTTCATGTAGCACTTTTTTCATGTAGCCCAACAAAGATTTAGCCGCAATTGAATAAGCATTTTGGTTGTTTCAAAGTTAGTAGTTTCTCTATATAAGTCAGGGTCAGGGGTTTATTGATCTCAAGTTGTTTGATATAGTTCTCTTATGTGTGTGAGATAAATATGTGGAATCTATAATTTAAAACAAAATAAAAAAAGAAAAAAATTGACACAAATTTCGATGAGTGTATTGACATAAGATAGATATCTTCAACGACATGAGAAAAGTATTTCCCATGAGTCATTCATCAAACCTTAAAATTTTCTTCTGGATGGGTAAGTCATTAGACAGCTTGCTCTTTTTATATTGGAGGGACTGAACGAGGTATGGTTGATAAACTTTCTCTAGTGGTTGATATTGGGGGTACTTCCACATACGTTGGCAGCGATTGTCAAAGGAGGTGGTGTATATGAAGGGAACAATTTTAAAAATATCAAAAGAAGAGATTGGAGATAGAGAGATTAAAGAGAGAGAATTAGAAGGATAGAGAGACATATTAGCGAGAAACTTATTTTCTTCTTTTTTATTATGTTCAATGAGCTCACAATTTATAGAACAGAAAATAAGGATAATTCTTGATTGCTACATTCCATCGCCCTTCAAAACAACCCCATCGTTGAGGTTGAGGTTGGTTTCCACCGGGATCAGAGAAGAAAAGTCATGTCTTCCTTGTTACTGTGTTGACATCACCAATCAATTAAAATTCTTCATGGGACTCAGCCGTGGCGGTGCCGGGATTTAATCTGAACCCGGGCCAAAAAATTATAAATGTATTTATTTTTTTAAATTTTAGTTAGTTAATTATAATATATTTAAATTATATTAAATACAGAGTACCTGAGCATATCGCATTAAGAAGAGTTATAATTTTATATTAGATATTGTTTAATTTTACTAAAAAAAAATTATATATAAGTGAAAATTGAACACATAACCTAATACAATTTACTCAAATCTTTCTCCAAAAACATTTTAAGTTTTAGATAGGGCCAAATTACAAATTGTAGCCCGGGCCAAATTATAATTTTAACCGGACCAAACTATAATTAATTATATAATTATATACAATAAATATAATTTGTTAGAATTTAGTCCCACAAATACCACACCCAGCCTGGACATGGCTCCGCCACTGGGACTCAACATAACCAATTTTTGGAACAAATGATCTCGCAACTTTGTGTCCCCACTTGCCACCCAAGGCAAAAGATATTATAGTCATATAGCAGTTGTGTCGCTGCTTCGCACCACACGTACTACATCGTAGCTTGGCAGGGGTATGCTTACATACAGAGCACGATGATTATCTTATATTTAGAATGTGGTTGGACAAACATTGTTCTCGTTGTTGGAGCAACAATAACATAGGACTCATTTTCTGAATGCGATTGGTTAGCCTTTCGATCTTCTTGATCTGCTTCAGATTCTAATTATGATTCTTCGATCATGGTTCCAACGAGGGCAATGGTTTCCTTCTGCATCCTCGACATACTAAGGCGTTGCACACGCTCTTGCTCGCGCATAAGTGTTGTTGTTGTTCACGAAGACGGTCATTTAAGCGCTTGAAATTTATCTCCATGCGGTCAATTATGGCAAGAATTCTAGCTTTAAGATGGTTGATAATGGCTGCATCACGACTCTGACTAGGAGGTTGGAAATTGAGAACCGAATACGGAGAGGAATACAAAGGGGAAAATGTGCAACAATGGAGGTTGAGACCGTGAATGAAAGCACCAATGAAGAGAATAAACTTTAAAATATAAAAAGAAAAGATTGGAGATAGAGAAATTAAAGAGAGAGAATTATAAGGATAAAGAGATATTAGGGAGAGGAGTAGTACTAAAACACGCAAAACAGTGTCTTGGGATAACAAACTGACTTCTAGAGATAGAGAGAAAGGAGAGTCTGAGCTGGAATCGGAGGACGATGGCATGCGTGGAGTGCGTGAGCGAACGGCGGAGGAAGAAGATCTGATCCAAAGAAGCATGAAGAAGCCTAAAGGTGAGGCGATAGTTGATGAGACCATTGATGATGAAATGCTGGAAAAGCATGAAGTTGGTGATAGTGAGGGCACCAAATCCATCGTCCTTAAGAAAGTGGTGCTCATGCAAGAGGTGCCTGGGAAGAAGTTTGTCTCATACAGAGACAAGCTAATCAGGTTAAATGGTGGAGGTAATAACTCAGAGAGCGAGGAGGACGACTGGAGAGCGATCCAACGAAGGGAAGAAGAGGAAGATGGAGGTGAGGAGGATCTGGTCCAAGATGTTGAGGATGATCCACTGTGTCCATCACTCCAATTTTCTAAAAGCCAACATAAGGAAGACTGTAAACAATGGAGGAAGGCCCTAATTATCAAACTATTGGGGAAAAGGATTGGGGCTCGGTTCCTAATGGCAAGGCTACAGAGGTTATGGAATCTGGTCTCGACCTATAAGTTGATAGATCTGGATAATGGCTATCTTCTTCTGAGATTCCATGATGAGGGGGATTATTTGCATGTGCTGGAGGATCGTGGATCGTGGCTGAACCATGGATCGTGGCTGATCACTATGTTGTGGTCCAGAGATGGCGTCCTATTTTTGATCCTTATGATGAGGGGTTTAACAAAACTGGCGGTATGGATACGGGTACCTGGGCTTCCTATTGAATTCTATACGGCTCACTACCTATGGAAAATTGGTAACCTGTTTGGAAGGACTCTTAAGTAGATAGGAATTCCCTTCGCAGGAATGAGCTAGGAGATTATGTCATTACAGAGAGAGCAAAGTTTGCTCGAATTTGTGTGGAGGTGGATTTAAGAAGAAGCTTCTTGTTGAAGTTTAAAATTGGAGATAGAGTGTTTCAAGTGGGCTATAAAGGCTTGCATTTAATATGCTTTAAGTGTGGCATGTATGGACACAAAAAGGACTAGTGTGTGGACAACCAGATTAGGGATCAGGGTAAACAAAGGGGGACAGATTCAGGAAGCCAGAAACCAATGGAAGAAAAATCAGCTGGAATTGCTAGGGAGAAACATAAGGAGGAGGAAGCTTTCGGCAACTGGATGGTTATTCAGAGAATAAAGAGAGGGGGTAAAGCCAAAGCTGTTCCAATGAAGAAGGTTAATGGTGAGGAAGAGGGTGTTGTGGTTGACATGGTGAAACATGTGATAGTAAAAGTGGATATCACTATGGGAGAGGCTATGACTTTTGTTCCGAATCTACCTACGGTTGAAACTAAGGAAGAGGCTAACCTTGCCAAGAAGCCTATTGATGATCCTAGTAGGGATGCTGAGATTAAAGAGGGAAGTAGAGCTAATAAAGGAGGTAATTCTGAAACCTCTAGTCCTTGTCCTTCTCTAAAGGTTAATAGGCTGGAAACTGGCAGACAGAAGAAAGGTGTTTTAAAGGAGAGCAGAGGTAAAAGTGGAACTAGTGGAGTGAAAAATAATAAAGGAGCGCCTTATGGTCATAAAAAGGGTGAAATGGAGAATCTCCCTCCTAATGCTATGGTGGGAGGTCCTGAATCAGGGGGCAAACAGAGAAGCAGAATTAAAGACTTGTCTGTTGGATGTGGTAGTCCAGTGGAAGAGACAGATCAGGCCAAGATCAAGGGTAAAGGAGTGGATGTGTCTGTTGTGTTAAATGATGCCACTATGGACCAGGAGCAGCAGGTACATGAGTTAAATTCTAACACCCTAAGGGGTTCTAGGACTCTGAATAACCTTTAAAGGGGTGGTGTGGGCCCCATCTTTAAATAAAGTTATGTTTATTTGCTCTTGAAATTGTAGAGGAGTGGAGAAAAAGGAGTTCCCTGCCTTAGTTAGAGATATGAAATATAGGTTCAATTTTAGTATTTTGGCTTTGTTGAAAACTAAAATTAGTGGAAGTAGAGGGGACAGAATAATAAAGAAGCTTGGCTTTTCTAAAAGTTTCAAAAAGGATGCAGTTGGATTCTCTGGGGGTATCTGGTTACTCTAGGATGAGAATAAGGTGAAGGTGGAGATCATTGATGCTCATCATCAATATATCCATACTAAGGTGTTCTATTTGGAGGAGATGAAATCTGAGTTTATCACTTTTGTTTATGGTAGTCCAAGAAGATTGGAGAGACAAACTTTGTGGTTGAACCTGGAGAACATTGCTCAGGAGATTGTTGGCCCTTGGATGGTTTTAGGAGACTTCAATTCAGTATTGAATGCTTCTGAAAAGATTGGGGGTAAAGAGGTCTGCTGGAATAGCCTAATTGATTTGCAGAGGTGCTTATCTAGCTGTGGTATCAGTGACATTGGTTTCAAAGGTCCATATTATACATGGAAGAGGGATAAACTCCAAGAAAGACTGGATAGAGCTTGTTCGAATGAGGCTTGGAATCTAAGCTGGCCTAATAGCATCCTATCTCATCTGCCCTATTTTAACTCAGATCATAGACCTATCCTATTAATTCAGGATTAGGTTAACAAGATGGAAGATAAGGATAAACCATTTAGATTTCTGGCTTCCTGGATCACAATGGAAGGCTTTGAGGAAGTGGTGAAGGACAACTGGAGCAACCAACCTGATTGGAATCATGCTAGGAGTAGGTTTGAAATGAAGGCAAGAGAGTGGCATCATAATGTTTATAGGCAGAATATCAAAAAGAAAAATAAAATTTATGCCAGACTTAGTGGCATTGACAGTTATCAATCTGGATGGTATGACCATAGTATGGAGATTCTTCAAAGAAGCTTATGGATAGAACTTCGGGAGATTCTTGTGAGGGAGGAGTTAGCATGGTTTCAAAGATCCAGGTGTCATTGGCTGAAGTATGGTGACAAGAATACTAGATTTTTTCATTCATCTACAGTGGCAAGGAGGAGGCACAACAGAATTGTTGCTCTTAGAAATGATAATGGAGACTGGGTAGCTGATAAAGAAGACCTAATCAATATGGCTGTAAAGTATTTTGAAAATCTGTTTACTGCTGATGAGGAGGAGCTAGAAGAATATCCTGTGAAAGTCTTCTTCCCTGGTCTAAGCAATAAAGAGAAAAAAGTTATGTCCAGAATTCCCTCTCATGAAGAGATCCGAAAGACTATTTTCAAAATGGGAAAGTTTAAAGCTCTTGGGCCTGATGGGTTACAGACAGTCTTCTTCCAATCTCATTGGAATATAGTGGGAAATTCTGTTTGTAAATTGATTTCTGAGATTTTTCTGGACCCGAAGAAAGTGGAGGAGGTCAATAAAACACTGGTGTGCCTTATTCCTAAGAAAGAGAGTCCAGAGGATATGAAGGACTTTAGACCTATAAGTCTTTGTAATGTAGTTTACAAGACTGTTACAAAGATAATAACTGAGAGGCTTAAGGAATTTATGCCTAGGATGGTGGCTCCTAATCAGTGCAGTTTTATACAAGGGAGACAAAGTGTTGATAATATCATCATAGCTCAGGAAGTGGTCCATTCCATGAGAAAGAAAAAAAGGGAATAAGGGGTGGATGGTGATGAAAGTGAATTTGGAGAAGGCCTATGATAGGCTTAGCTGGAGTTTTATCAAGGAGACTTTGGAGGATATAGGTATCACCAACAGTCTCATTGATCTTATTTGCAATTGTATATCTACTACCAAATTAACCTGTTGTGGAACGGAGGTTTAACCAGGGATTTGAACCAAAGAGGGGTATTAGACAGGGAGATCCATTATCTCCTTATCTCTTTGTGTTATCTGTTGAGAGACTAGCCCACTTAATTCAACTAGCTGTGGACTCTAAGGCTTGGAAGCTTGTTTTCCTGAATAAGAGGGCTCCCCTTTATCCTATTTGTTTTTTGCAGATGACATCATACTATGTGCAGAGGCAACTGTGGAACAAGCTTTTATCATCAACCAGGTGTTGACAATTTTCTCTGCTGCATCAGGGCAGAAAATCAGTGAAAATAAATCAAGAGTTATGTTTTCAATAAATGTGGGTGTGACTAGAGCTAATGAGATTGGTGAAAAGCTTGGAGTGGGGATTACTAATGATTTGGGCAAGTACCTTGGGGTAAATCTGAGTCATAAAAGAGCCTCTAGGAAATCTGTCATTAATGTAATGGAAAGGGTGCATAGTAGGATGTCTTCATGGAATCAATTTTCTCTCTCTTTGGCTGGAAGAATCACATTGGCAAAATATGTATTGGAGGCCCTCCCAGCTTATACAATGCAGTCCACCATCATTCCTGTGAATGTCTGTAAAGAGGTGGAGAAGGTGACTAGGAAGTTTATTTGGGGCTCAAATTCTGATAAAAAGAAGATTCACTTGGTTAACTGGAGCAGTGTTTGTAGAGCCAAGGAGGAAGGAGGGCTAGGATTAAGAGACCAAAGAATAGTGAACAAAGCCTTCTCCATGAAAATTGGTTATGGAATGTTGACTAATAAAGATACTTTATTGGCTAGAATCCTTCGAAGCAAATATAAGGTGAGCAGTGACCTTATGCCTGTTCTGAAAGAAGATAGGAATGGATCCAGTACTTAGAAGGGAATTTATAAAATCTGGAGCTGTGTTCAGAATGGGTCAAGGATATGTATTGGTAATGGGTGCAATGCAAAGTTTCGGTAGGATAGATGGGTTCCAGGTGTGGGAAGGCTGATTGATGGGGTGATAAAACCAGTTCCAGATGGTGATAAAGAGTGGTTGGTGGCTGACTGTTTGAATCAAGAGGGAAGCTGGCAATGGTCTAAATTTGACAAATTTCTTGAAGATGAGGTCATCAGAATCATCGAAAATGTTCATCCTCCCTCTGATGCTAATGGTCCTGACTTGGTAATGTGGAACCACTCCTCAACAGGTATGTTCACAGTGAAATCAGCCTATGAGTTTTTAATTTCTCCTCTGACTAGAAATGATTGTAACAAGTGGTATCTAGCTTGGGATTGGGAGGGACCCCAAAGGATTAAAGCTTTTCTCTGGTTATTGATTGGTGGGAACTTACTCACAAATGAAAGAAGAAATAAAATGAGCTTATGTGGTGATGCCAGATGCAGTAGATGCAATTCCCCTATGGAGGATTGTAATCATATATTCAGAGAGTGTGGTTGGACCCAACAAATTTGGAGGATTTGCTGTAAGGGAAGAAATGTTAGATACCCCAACACTGGTGGATTTAAAGAGTGGATAGAAGAAAATTTAAGCAGGAAGAAAACCAATATGGATTGGAGGAGATTCTTTGGTGTCATGTGCTGGTTAATATGGCAGGAAAGAAATAGCTTTATCTTTAATGATTCTAGGAAACAGCCTATAGATATGGTTTATCAAACTTCGAAATTTGTTCAGGATGTATTGGTGGCTGACAACATGCTGTTGAAAGCTGGTCTCCTTCCTGAAAAGAGGAAAGAGGTAAGTAGTCATTGGAAACATCCATCTCCTAATTGGATCAAAATCAATTCGGATGGAGAATGTCGTAACAAAGGAGTTTCAACTAGTTGTGGGGGTGTAATTAGAAACTATGCTGGGAAATGGATTGCTGGATTCTCAAAAAGGATTGGTTGTGGGAATGTGCTGTTGGCTGAGGTTTGGGGTATGGTTATTGGATTGGAATGGGCTTGGGAAATGGGCTACCAACAGGTGATTCTGGAGACAGATTCCATGGAAGCTTTGAAGATTGCTCAGGATGGTTGCACTGAGTTTCATCCTTGTCATATGTTGATAATCAGAAATAAGAAAGCTCTTGAGAGGAACTGGAAGGTGGAATATCCTACACTCACAGAGAAGGGAATAAAGTTGCCGATTGGATGGCTGGTCATGCTTCTGAATTGGACTGGAACGTAGTTTGGTATAGAAATCCTCCTGTTGTATGTAGTAAATTGCTATTAGATGACTGTTTGGGTGTAGAGAACCCAGTCCTTGAGTAGTTTGTTTGCTTTGTTATCTTTCATACTTATACAAAAAAAAAAAAGATATTAGGGAGAAACTTGAATTATTTTCTTCTTCAATTTTTTTCAATGGGCTAACAATTTATAGAATTACAAATTAAACAAAGATAAGGAAATTCTAATTTGAATTCAAAACTAATAACACTCATAAGATAATTTAAACAACTAAGATAAAGACAACAAGTCTAATAACAAACCACTAGGATTAAGGGAAAAGGATAATTCTTGATTGCTACTTTGCTAGAGTATACTTGTTCAGACTCTCATACTCAAGTTAGTATTAAATAAAGTGATGGAGATTATATACATAACTATTTATTTATAAGAACAAATAGTAGCAAGACCCATGTCGCGGACCTATGCTGAAGTGATGGGACATGGGTAGTGAAGACCATAATATAACTCTTCCTAAGATTGATGAGATGTATGTGTTATTGGGACAAACACCTAAATGACACATTTTGGGAAACAAAATTACCCAAATGTCAAATTTCTCTAGAAAAAAATTGTTAAAATGTCATATTTTAGGACCAGTTGTCAATCCTAACAGATCAAGTTTGCTCCATGCCGCCTGGACAACAACCCATTGTAAAAAATAACAGGTTTAGGACTTGTTGTTTTTGACAACGGGTTCCTATCGGCCCAACGCGTGGCAAACACAATGTCTTTTTACGCAGTTAGGTTACTATTTTTCACATATTGCCTGGAAAAGGAAACATTGTTAGAAAGAGTCAGTCCTGGACCCGTTATTTTTTACAGTGAGTCTTTGTCCAGACGACAAGTGACAAACTGGACCCGCTGGGACTAACAACAGATCTTGAAATGTGGCATTTGAATAATTTATTTCTCAAAATGTATCATTTTAGTTCTTGTCCTTGTGTTATTCCCCCTAGTATAGAAGGTCTGATTGATGGGGTACATATACCAAAGTTGTGAAAGCAATCGATATGTCAGTTCTATTGTGCTAATAGGAATGTCATAAAGGAGGGACAACAACCAAAATGACACATTTTGGCAAATAAATTGCCCAAATGCTAAGTGTCAGAAAAATTGCCAAAATGCCATATTTTAAGACATGTCAGTCCAGGGGAGGGTCCTTGTCCAAGTTACACTTGGTAAAACACTAACTCAATTGCATAGAAAGACATTGTCTTTTGCTACGTGTCACGCGGACAAGGACTTGTTGTCAGAAACAACATGTCATGGACTGGTTACTTCTGATAGCAATCTTTGTCCAAGCGATACATGTTAAATTGTACCCGCTGAGACTAACAGTGAGTCCTGAAACGTGGTATTTTAGAAAAATTACTCTGAAACATGGCATTTGGATAATTTATTTTTTAAAATGTGTCATTTTGGTCTTTGTCCCCCTAAAGGAAGCCAAGGTATCAATTTTGTGTATCAGTGTGGTATTTTAATGATTAAATATTAGGCCTAACTACCACCCAAAAACATAAATCATAGATAATTTCAATGTAAAATGAAAAGAAATAATTTGTATATAAAGCTGATCTGAGGGTTTTGAATAAGGGAAAATTGAATAATTTGTTAATAAATTATTAGAGTAAAGAGTAAAATTAATAAATATAAATTTAGAATATGGGTGAAACTGAAAATTCTAAAAAGTTAGTATATATCTTAAAAGAGCTTCTTTCGAAGCTTTTAGCTTTTACTTTTTTTATTAATTATAACAAACAAAAAATTATATAACATGAGCTTTTATAAAAACATGTTTAGCTAGGCTTCTGTTTATAAAAAAAGAAGAAGGAGAAATTAAAAATAAACTTCCCAAACAGATATTAAATAAAGGGAAAATTGTTTATCCTTTTAAATGACACAACTTATATCATTTCACTCTCACAGAGAGGTAGGACCCACACCTTTATTTTTTTTGTTAACTCTCTCCTCCTTTATCTATTTCTTTCTCTCTCTTAAAATAATACAACTTTACATCCTTTAAAATGACACACATTTTTCCTTTAAATAAAACTATCTAAACTTCCCAAAAATAATTTAAGTCGAGCGTGTTTTACTTTTCCAATAAAAAATTCATATCCACTTTTTGCATACATGGTTTATGCAATGATGACAAATTTGCAGGAAAAAGTCTTTTTCCTTCTTTTTAAATGACACAACTTATATCATTTCACTTTACAAAGAGGTGAGACCAACCATTTTTTCCCCCACTCTATGATCCTTTATCTATCTATTTCTCTCACTTAAAATGACACTACTTATATCATTTCACTTCACAAAGTGGTGAGACCAACATCTTTTTTTCCACTCTATTATCCTTTATCTATCTCTTTCTCTCACTTAAAATGACACAACTTTACATCCTTTAAAATAACACATTTTTTCCAATAACATATGATCATTAGTTGAAGTTATGCGTGCCCTTATTTTTTTTTTAAAAAATATTCCAATCGGTTCATTGCTTCGCAACTAATCCGATTCGGGGCGGGTCCAGGATTAAGGTTTTAAACCCCTCCCAAAGGTGGTACTGGGAAGATTTGAACACATGCTCTCACCTCCACCTACTTAGCTCTCATGCGCCATCTGAGCTACCACCATTTGGTTGCGCTCTCTTATTATATACGCTGAGAAGAGCCAAAAATAATAAAATAACCTATGAGAGAACTTTGTGTAATAGTACAACTTGTTCAATCTGAATCACAATTGCATATTATTATCTACTGGCAATATAGGATACCTTGTCCCGAGTTTGCTTTTAAGAAGTGTAAAACACACAGGATTACATAAAAACAAGTTATTGTTTAGGAGCGTTTATAAACTAAGATAGTGTATGAAACGCATAACACAATTCTAGGAACCTAATGGTAAAGGTACGCAGGGCGACCAATTAAGCAACAATAACACGAGGGATCATGAAAATAACTTCCATCAGCAAGGGGCAAGCGAAGATGTTCTTTTGGAAAATCAGTTGGTTTGAAATCAAACATTCCTAGTTCATGTAAATATCAAAAGTGTATTTTCTTTGACATAGGAATAGGTCAATTGGACCACACGCTATTTCTATTCTAAGAAAATATTTTAGAGTTCCAAAATCTTTTATATGAAAATATGGGACAGATATGTAAAGAACCACTTCAACCCAAAACCTTAAGGTGTTGGGCGAGGGCCTTTTTAAGACTTTATATTATTCTCTAACACGCCCTCTCATGTAAGAGCCTTTTGGGTTTGAAGCGTGGATTATTGCATAGGCCTAATTTTTGGTTTATTGCTTATTTAATTTCACGAGTAGAGGACGGTGAGGAACCACGTAAAGAACCACTTCAACCCAAAACCTTAAGGTGTTGGGTAAGGGTCTTTTTAATAATTTATATTATTTTCTAACACACCCCCTCACGCAAGAGCCCTTTGGGCTTGAAGCGTGGATATGACACAAGCCCATTATTGGTCCGCCTTGTGCTGCACAAGCCCATTTTTTGTTTTATCTTGTACATTGTGTTTATTTTAATTCCACTAGAAAGTTGGGGCGGTGAAGATCAAACTCGTGATCTTGTGGTCACTAAAGCTCTGATACCATGTAAAAAACCACTTTAACCAAAAACCTTAAGGTGTTGGGTGAGGGCCTTTTTAAGGCTTTATATTATTCTCTAACAGGATATGCTTGCCACCACAAAAGTTTATCACCCTTACAATCAATTTAATCATTATTGATTTCTGTCAATCTAATAGTTATAATTTATTAAATTTATTAGGAATTAATTATTATAACCGTTAGATTGATAAAAATCAACGATGATTAAGTTGGTTATAACGGTGGTTTGTGGTGGTAAGTATATTCTTAGCACACATAGAGGAATTATTTACTAGAAGATAAATGTGTTAAAAATCAAGGAACTCTATAGAATAATAATTCATTTTTATATCTTCTACCTCAATAGAGTTCATTATATACAAAGTATTAGAGTTACAAATCAGTCATAAATCAGGCTACAAATCAGCCATAAATCAAGGAAGAAAATTACAAATAATCAGGAAATTAAAACTCCTAAAATCTCTCCACATAATTCCTACAATCTCTCCATGTAACGGATTCCCTTTAATTGCTACATAAATTGGTCAATCAAATCAGAAATTAAATCTTTCCAATTATAAAAAATATACAACTCAACAATCTCCCTCAAGTTGAAGCATAGATGTCAATCATGTTCAACTTGTCAATTGCACCTTGAAAAACTCTTCCGGAAACAGCTTTGGTAAGTATATTAGCTAATTGATCTTCAGACTTAACAAATGGGAACTGTATAATTTTCTGAACTAGCTTCTCCTTGATAAAATGTTGATCAATCTCCACATGTTTGGTTCGGTCATGTTGCACAGGATTATTTGCTATTTCAATGGCAGCCTTGTTATCACAGTGGAGATTCATTGATTTGTCATAACAAATTCCCAAGTCTTTTAATACGCTGTTAACCCACAATAGCTCACATACTCCTTGAGCCATACCTCAAAATTCAGCTTCTGCACTTGATCTTGCTACTACTTTCTGTTTCTTGCTTTTCCAAGTAACTAAATTACCTTCCACGAAGGTGAAATTGCCTGATGTGGAATGCCTTGTTGTTTTATCTCCAGCTCAATCAGAGTCAGTGTAACCTTCAACACCTGTGACATTATATTTTGAGAACAACAATCCTCGGCCAAGGGCACCCTTTAAGTACCTTAGAATTCGATACACTGCATTCATATGATCTACGCTTGGTTTGTGCATAAAGCGACTTACAACACTTACAACATATGCAATATTTGGCGTCGTATGAGACAAGTATATCAGTCTTACAACCAACCTTTGGTACTGAATAATACTTGCTAGCTTTTGATCCGAAAATATTCCAAGCACATGATTCATCTCAATCGGTGTTTCTATTG